ATAATTTTATTTCTCTCAAGAAAAAGGTTACATATTCATTGACTCAGTTCTCAGACTAGGAGGAAAACCAACTTTTTGATGACACGATCAGGCTGCAGGTGGAACTTTTGTTGGTAGAAGTCAAATGTAAAATAGTCACATAATAGAAGTTCACTGGCTATTCACCTGAATCCTGTTCACACAGAGAGTGATATTGCTTCAAATATTAGTAAAACAAATTAAAAGATGATAAAATGTAAACCTTGTGCCATACGATTAACTCCTGAAAATTGACTGGTTCCAGGAAGCAAATTAACCAGAAAATTTTGAGAATGTTATTGTTATCTAATGCTAAGGTATATGTACTCAATATACAGACAAACGATTCTCACCTGTCAAGAGTATAGCTCCTAATTAACATTTGAGGAATAACAGGGAAGTCTACAGCAGGTAATTAGGCCAGAGGCACTGAACCTAGTATCAAAAGATCCGGTCTTCCACAAACCAGTGGCTATGACATCATGTATGTCCTAGAGCCTACATTTCTTGATCGGTAGAATGAAAGTAATAACACCTCCCTCACAGGTAGTGAAAAAAATAAAGTAATAGGAGATAATGGATGTCAAAATGCTTCATAAACTTAAAATGGTCTGGAAATATAAGATACTATCTCTTTCTTGTTAGTGCCATGTCCTAAGCTATCAAGGCATAGTAATAGTCCAGGAGAGTACAAATTTAAGACAAAACATCTGTCAAAGTGATCCTATTGGGAGAAGAAATATAAACGAGTGTAATGAGCCATCTCACGCTTCTGGATACAATGGTATATCAATATTATCAAAGATATTAAATAAACGCATCTACTAAAACCGCTGTGCTAAGACCCACATAGAGCCCATGAGATCTGTTCTACAGGAACGCATACAGACAGCTGAGCCCAGCATTGCCTGCCTGAACTGTTATCCAAGCAAAGTGTCTTAGAAATTAATCACTTGGAGTGACCACTGCAACACCAAAATAGGTGAATGTTGTGGAATGCTGGTCTGCCAGAGCCCTGTTAATATCTAGCTAAACAAAGAACTTGCTGCAAAAATGGAAAAAGCCACTGCTTCTGTCAGTGATGGGGAAAATATCTAGAGATAAAAAAAAGAGAGAGAATTAGTGAGAGAGGTGAGCACAGAGAATAGCTGCCACTTGAAAAGCCATGTGGACTTTGGTTCCTCGGAAGTCCCAGACCTGTCATTCTCCTAGCTACAATCGCTTCTTACACCAGAGCTGTCAGGCTTGAATAATAGAAAAGCTTCTGTTGCTTTCTCTGGATACTGAGTTCACCGAAACGGAGGCAATTTAGCTATGCCACCATAGTCTTGGTTCTTTCTTTGCTGACAGACTCAGTGTCTTCCAAGAATGACTTTCCACAGTAATGATGAAACATGAGACTTGCAGAAAAAGATTGTCCCAAATTCTTACTAAGGGACTGTAAAGATAGTTTGATAATGCAAGTAATATAATTTTAAAAACAATGGCTCCCAAACCGCAGTTTTGCCCAAGCCCTAAGATGTTTAGGACTCTACCTCTCTTGGCCATTATTTAAGCTCAAGCATATTTGATCACCCTTACTGCAGCCCCACAATTCATGGCTCTCCAAATCTTATTACATGTTGGCACACATTACAGGAATAATAGCCCATCTTCTTTTTTTTTTTAGTCCCTCTGTTAATACTCTAATTTGTTTCCACATTAATTTTTATGGAATCATTACAGTCTTATCCTAGTTGGCTTCCTTTCCCAAGTCTTTCTTTTACTCGAATCCATGCAACACTACCAGATGTATATCCCCTGTTCATGCCATTTTCCAGCTCAAACTCCTTCAGCGGCTCAACATCACATAAAAAATTAAGTCCACATGTTCTTACTCATAAACGGACCTTGAACAATTATCGCAATACTATAAGAAAAGGATTGGCAGTAGAAGGAAACTGTGGTGGGGGGGCACACCTTATCAACAAGGGTGCCTGTACAATGAACATTTGTATACCTAACCCTGAATTGTACCCCACATCTTTAAAATTAAAACATTTTAAAAATGAAGTCCAAATTTCCTAGCTTAAAATTTAAAAGTATGAAAACACCAAATGTTGGAGAGGCTGTGAAGCACATACTCCCAGTGGAAGTGTATGAATAGGATCATTTTGGAAAGCTGACTTGCAGTGTCTACTAGAGCTGAACATATGCATACCCTGTAACCCCTACATTCCAAGAAACAACAGTCACTTGGATGGATAAATTGTGGTATATTCATACAAGATGTCATAAAATAGTGAAAATAATGAACTACAGATACATTCAACATCATGTATAAATCTCACCACCAATGTTGAGCGAATGAAGTTATACACAAAATTATATATATATTATATATATATAATCTAATGACATGTATATAGAATTCAAAAGTAGGCAGCACTGGTTAATGGTGTTAGAAGCCAGTGTAGTTTCCTTCAGGGAGAAAGGAGTAGTATTTGAGAGGGGCTATACGACATGGATTTCTGTTGTGTCGGAAATGTTGTATTTTGTGACCTGGGTAGTGGTTTCACAGACATGTTAACTTTGTAATAATCTATTGAGCTGTACATTTATGTTTTGTGTACTTTTTGCTCGATGTGTCAAAAAAATATGTCTTAGCTTGGCCCTAAGGTTGACCACGATCATCTTCCTATGTGTTTCTCCAGCCTCACCCTCAAGCTACCCACTTAAATATTATGTTCCAATGTTTTGGCTTATGCACCCATCCCAGAACAGCTTATGTCATTTGTTAACCCTGCTCCTTTGCTCACTGGAAATCGTCTTCTCCATCTCTTCTAATCAGGATCCTATCCATTTTCAAAGCTCAAGTATACCTCTTTTACGAAGCCTTCCCAGATTTCAGCAGATGTTCTTTCTCCATCCTCTGAGTTGCAATGAACCTTTCTTACCAATTTGACTTTAGTTGTCCCTGAACTACGCGTTAATTTGCCTTATCCTTTAGCAGGTGTATACACTATTAGAGAACCAGGAGCTATAGTTTACATATCTTGAAATTTCTTTCACTACTTCACATACTGGCAGCATAGAGGAAAACTGGATGAGCGAGTGAATAAATGGACAAGCAAGTTAAGCCACTGAGTCTGTTCCATATAGGACATCCATCTCATTAGACACCTCTGAGAGGATCCTGGGATCAAGTTTCATCCCAGTCCAGGTGTAAGGGCTGGTAAATCCTCTGGCATTCTCTTGGTTCTGGCCAAAAGACCAGATGAGATATGAAAAGTTATATGATGTTTTGTGTCTTCCTAAGCTCTATTAAACAGACTGAAAGCCCAGCGTTGATAAATACACGACCAACCCAAGACAAATTGTGAGATAGGAAGTCATTTTTTCCCCGTCTTCCTTCCAGTTCTCATGCCTTCCTCTACTCCCACCCTCTGTGCTGTCTTCCTCCTCGCCCCCCTTCATTTCCAGAGGTCAATAGTGACACTTATCGATTGCTGTATCAGTCAGAGTTCTCTGGAGGAACAGACCAAATAGGACGTTTGTGTGTAAATTTCGGCATCAAGAGCCAAGCAGAAAAGCATTGCCAGATCAGCTCAGAAGGGTGTGGGAGGACCATGTTCACCACGTGGCTGAGGGAGCTTGTCTGGAAGCCCTCACCGGCGCTGTCAGCGCAGGGAGCGCAGCCAGCAGTGCCAGAGTGCCCTTCCTCCTGCCAGGTCCCTCCAGCGCCGCTGCTGAATGGCTGCACTGGTCTCCACTTAGAGGAGAAACCCTGAAAGGAGCTGGCTATTATCACAGAACAGTCACTGATGGGTAAGTTTGGAGCCAGGAGGCAATAAGTGGATAACTGCACACAGGCTACAGGTGCCAGTTATGAGAGTCACTAAATTATCTTTTGGTCTTAGACACTTTCAGCTGGACTGCACTGAAAGATTGCTAACTGATCAAGGGCCCAGTCTTCATGCCATCCATAGCTAGGCAGAGCTTTTCACTGAGCATGGCATGCTCTTCTGACAGTTTTTCTGCCACCAATTCCCATCCAAATATTTTTGCCCTGGTCCCATTTTTTTTTTTTTCAGTTAAGATCTTACTTATTGTCTTTGTATATATGTTAACAACCTATCAATAACATTTTTATTTGAATGATAACATTCTGGAGAATGAAGACTTTAAAAGAGAAGAAAGATGGAGTTTTATGTATCTCAAATTGTTGGCAGAATAGATATTTTAGAGTAGTTGACACTTTAGGTCTCCCTCAAATAATTAAGCCATCATCCGCAATAATAAAACATAGTTTGAATTTTACATTGCTCTCAGAATGGCCTGGTCGTCCCAGGATTGTACAGTGACAACAGAACATGGCTCTAAAATAAAGAATTTATTTCCAGTATGAAATAAATCTAAGTAAGCAACCTTAACGCTCACAAACTAGTTAGGTAAAAAGTGAGGTGTTGGGCAACCTTCTCGGTTCCCCTCCCACTGTGGGAGCTCTTTGTCCTCTCAATAAATCCTGCTTTCTCACATTCAAAACAAAGAAAAAGTGAGGTGTCCAATGCAAAGGACAATAGCTTTGAGTGTGTGAGTGCTTTTTAAAAAAACAGAACTTCCAGATAGTAAATAAAAATTTTACTCAATACACCTGATAGTTAAAATAATTACTTTATGAAGAGGACTCCCAAGGAACGTATAAGAGTTCCCAATTCGACAACATTGACCCTTTGAAACATCTGATTTTAAGATGTAGACTAATACAAGTTTTTCTTTTGGGGGTTTAGCGATTTCTGCTGCCTCAGCGGTCTTGTTTTCTTGGGGTTTTATAACCACAAAGTCTGTTATTCGAAAGTTTTAGTTCACCTCAAATACTTTCTGTGCTACTTGGAAAAAGTATCCGGGGGAAATTCATGTAAGAAGAGTAAACCCAATTTAACAGAAAGCATGAAAAATTGTCGAAGAGCTTCCTGCGTGCCCACGTGCAGCCCAAAGGAAGCATGACTGGTTCGGGGAGCGGGAGGCGGCATGAAGAGATGCAGAGTCTCCTCCTCTGCCTGCTGGTGTTGGGTAAGTGGATCGTCTTATTGTCAGGCTGGCTGAGACCGAATGCCAACATCAGACAGAGAGTTCCAAAGGCAGGGAGCAGAGGGATGCCATTCCAGTTTCCTTCGCTTGACACTATCAAGTGCGCTCACAGTCTCTAAGATAAAAGTTAGACAAATTGAAGGCCAATAAGTTTCTAGTTCTATAGCAGTGGTTTGTATTCAAACGCCTCGTGATTTTAGATGTATTTCTATGGAAAGACAGTGTCAAAAACAACACTCCACTAGACAAAATCTACAAGAGCAAACAAGCGCTATAAATTGCTGTACTGATTGGTGAGGAGTTTTTTCTTTCATGAACAGTAGCACAATAGTCATGCAGAGTATGAACATTCTAAGCCCTAACAATAGAGGGTATATTTGATTTAAAATATCAGAAATACATTGTTTACTTCGAAAATTCTGTCTGTGTTACATATAAGGAATATTTATCCATTCCTTCTACAAAAATATATTGATTGTCTTCCTTTCTTTTTGTTTTAGATTAGAAAATAAAGTTTATTTAGAAAGTAAATTAGAGAGAGAGAGAGAGGAGATTCACCTCCTCCAAGGTAGGGGAGGGGGCCAAAATCAGGAAACATGGCCCGGCCATCGCTTAAAGAGCACATGGCCACACCATAGTTTACCAAAACAATGGCCCCAGTGGCCTTGCAATGGCTGGTTATCTTCCTTACAGGTGCCAAGAAACATAGTTTCTGCCTTTGCAAATCTGTCTAGCATATAGTAAAGTGTTATTGCTTAAAAAAGAATTGTGATTATCATGTGTTAAATGGGCACCACACTTCATGTAGGACGTAATAAAAGTAATCACCATTTTACATAGTGATGTAATTTCCAAAGTGCTTGCATGTGCATATGTGCGCACACACACACACACACACACACACACACACACAGAGAGAGAGAAAAAGAAAAATAATGGTCAAATTTAATACATTTACCATATGGCACAGCACAGGTTCTGACAAACCAAAATGCAAATGGAATAAGGTCGACTTTGGAAGAAATGTGTAGAGTACAGAATCTCAGCCATTATGTCCACTTGTAAGTGTGGTTTAGCAAGCTCCCACTGATCCAGGGGCAGGACCTTAAGATGGAACCCACTCTATGTATACATGATGGAATATTGCACAGCCATAAAGAAGAACAAAATTATGGACTTTGCAGCAACTTGGATGGATTAGACTCCATCATACTCAGTGATGTATCATAGAAACAAAGGAGTGAGTACCACATGTTCTTACTCCTAAGCGAACCCTGAACATTTACCATAATACTATAAGAAAGGGATTGGCGATAGTTGGAAACTGCCAGGGGACGTGGGGGGAGGGGCATAACACGACTAGGGGTACCTGCTCTCAAACCAAGCAGAGTGGAGACCAAAGGGAGGCCCAGACTTTGCCTGCATGATGACCACTTGTATACCTAATTAAAGATGTGAACTGTGCCTCACATCTTTAAAACAAAACAAGATAAAATAAAAAGATGGCACCCTTTCCCCATCCCCAACATAAGAAGACAGCTAAAAAGTGGTCATCAGATTGGCAATGAGAAATGGCCCACTGGCCGGGCTTGGTGGCTCAGCCTGTCATCCCAGCACTTTGGGAGGCTGAGGTGAGTGGATTGCCTGAGCCAGTGGGTTCGAGACCCACTTAGGCAACTTGGTGAGACCTCGTCTCTACAATAAATAAAAAAATTAGCTGGGCGTGGTAGTGCGCGCCTGTAGTTCCAGCTACTTGGAAGGCTGAGGCGGATGGATCGCTGGAGCCCAGCAGGTCGAGGCTGTGGTGGCCAGGAGCGGCCACTGCACTCCAGTCTAAGCGACAGAGTGAGACTCCAAAAAAATAAATAAATACATAAATGGCCCATTAATACATACTTATTAAATTCATACTATGTGTCAGAAATTGTGCTTGGCATTCAATTAAGACTTAAGTGTTAGGTTAATACGAAATAAATCTGAAATAAAGAAGAGTAAGCAGATAGTTCAGTGAGAGAATATTGACCGTGGTAGAAGCAAAGTGAGGAGTAAATTGTGGAAAGAGATAGGGTTGGCAAGTAAGAAAGAGCATAATCATGAGAGCCAAGAACTTGCAAGAGGTGGAAGGTCTGAGGTGAAGGGAAAGGTAAAGGAGAAAAGGAAGAATGCCTCTGCGGAAGGAGGAAAGAAGACAAGGAGGATGAAGACTGTGGGTCAGTTCAGAGGTGTGGAGGAAGCAGAATACATCCTCGAGTGACAGCAGGAATCTAAAGGAAAGGAAAGGGGCTGAGGTGAGTGGATTGCCTGAGCCCCTGGGTTCGAGACCCGCCCGGGCAACTTGGCGAGACCTCATCTCTACAATCAATCAAAAACTTAGCCGGGTGTGGTAGCGCCCGCCTGTAGTTGCAGCTACTCGCAAGGCTGAGGTGGAAGAATCGCCGGAGTCCAGCAGGTTGAGGCTGCGGTGGCCGGGAGCGGCCACTGCATTCCAGTCTGGGTGACAGAGTGAGACTCCAACTCAAAAAAATAAAATAAAATAAAATAAAGGAAAGGAAAGGAAAGGAAAGGGATGATCCAAAATGAGAAAGGATAAAGGGAAGTCAAGGAGAGGCTGTAAAGGAGAGGAGGCTTTCTCACAGCTCTAGTAGCCATTCTGCTGGGAAGCAGACAAGGCAATCTACGAAAAGTAAAGAGCGCGGCATTAGCACAGAGTTTAAAAAGTGGTTATTATACACACACACACACACACACACACACACACACACACACACATACACACACACACACACGTGCGCGTGCGCGCGCGCGGTAGGAAATTGGCAAGGATCCGTACAGGTTTGCCAGAAAATATTGGGAGTCCAACAGAGGTTGGAAATCATAAACGGATGAGGCAGACAGTCAACATGATTATGTGATTTGCTCCAGTATTAGTTAATGCCTGGTTTCAGGATTAGAATACACAGATGGTTAGGTTGTCCTAGAATGGAGGATTAGGGCAATGGAATGAGAAGAAGATCACGAGAGTGTTGGGAATTAAGAGTGCCAGTGAGGGAGGGCTTTAACTAAATGACCATGGGTCGCCAGATTGAATAAGGAAGTGAAGCCAAAGTTGGCTTATTGATCAAGAACACATGAAACCAACAATGGACAAGAAGAATCTTGGACTTAAGTGAAACTGCTTGAGGGGGATTCTGCATCCTGGAGCATAAGGTGCAATTTGCTTCGTATAACACACAAAGTCTTGTATGATCTTGCCTGGCTCTGCAGCTCACTTCTCTCTCCTTCCCCAGATGCCCCAGGCGTTCCATATGTCCCGGCATGCAGACCAGCTGTGTTGCTTTCTGCCTTCACGTCACGGCGGTTCTTTCTGAAGGACCACTTTTCTCCTCCCGAACCCCCTCCTCCATTCATCTAATGAACTTCTAAGCCTCCAAGGCTCACTTCAAGCACCTCTTTCCCATTAGTTTCTCAAGGTAATTTGTCTGCAAATATCTATCTAGCTAGCTAGCTATCATCTAGCTATCTGTGACTGCTCACGTCTCCTTCCATTCCTGTAAGCTCACGCCATTGCTCCCACCAAACACTCATAATTTGGGGCCGAGCAATTGAATGCTGTAGAATGGACACTGTTCCAGTTCCAGTCAAAGCCAACTGCCATGCTGTAAGAAGTCAGGCTATTCTGCCTTGAGTGTGAAACGCCATGAAGAGAGACAAGCTGTCCGGAGGAGAGCACAGCACCTACGCCAAGGCACACAAGTGAGTCCTTCTGGGCCCTTTCTACACCTCCTAGTCACCGGTTGAGTGTCAGTGGAGCCTAGTCAGGCCACAGAATTATGAGAAGTAGTACACTATTCCTGTTTTTAAACCACTGAGTTTTGGGGATTGATTATTCAGTTGTGGATAACTAGTGTCTCTCCCATTTTCAATTCAAATGCAGCAGTTCAAACCGCAGCATCACACTACTGCACTTATCATAAGCCTCTATTATTTTACTTATTATACTGGGATCACAAAAAATTTTTAACATATCTGCTAACTTCCTATTCCGTGAGAGTCTTGAGAATGAGAACAATGTTTCAATGCTAATGTGTGTGTGTGTCCTAAATCCTATATATATATATATATATATATAAAACATATAACAGATATTCAATAATTGATCAGAACTAAGTTAAATATGGATTGAGTTAGTGGAAGGAAGGAAGAGAGAGCTATGCTATGTACAGTCATAGGAATTTCATGGGTAAGTATTTCACAAGAGAAGCAGCTCCCAGATTGACGTGGAAACGTGCTGGAAGTGAGGTTGGATGAGGCCTAGTTTAGGAGCTCAGGTGAGGGCAGGGGAATCTGTAAGGTTGTGAACTTGCGGCCTAGCAAGACGAAGGAAATGGTGTGGAGGGGAACATGGTGACACTGAACAGGAAGAGGCTGGAACAGCTATGCAGCGATAAAAAGGCTCTTAAAGAAATAGTGAACAATTAAGGAGGGGCTGGTCCAATCTTCTGCCCAACGTCTGCTCAAGGGAGAAAAGTAAGTCTTCACTTCACAGACATATGCAGAAGTTGTGTTTTCATTAAAGCAGGTTTTCCTCGGAGCCATCTGAGCGCTCCCTCGCAATACCCTCCTCTGACACCTTTGGTTCCCACAATCCTCTTCCCTCCTCACTCTGCATCTGTGCTCTGGGCCATGCATCACCCTGAGGGTTTCAGGCAGGACACGTCCACTGACACCTCCTCCATCTGCACTTTCCGACTCCACTTATTTTATGAGCTTCAGGATTGTTACTTTCAATTCTCTTCTGAATATCTGCAGTATCTGGCCTGCCAGGTGCATCAGAGTCAAGACGTTAAAGGACTAGCTGATTATCTTCCATTCAAAACAAGTTTTTCCTCCTGTATTTCCTAGCCCAGGAAACAGCATCATGGCCACTCAGAGAGCATGGAAACAGTCAGTACTGTGGTTAAACGCTTGGATTCTGGAATTAGTCCAGCAGAATGTGTTCAGATCTGGTCTCCATAAATTACTAACTATATAGTAACCCCAGTCTGCTCATGTTGCCATGACCAAATACCAGAGACCGAGTGGCTTAAGCCACAGACATTTGCTTCTCACAGTTCAGGAGGCTGGTCCAAGGTCAGGGATCCAGTGGGTCGGGTTCTGCTGAGGGCCCTCCTCCAGGCTTGCAGACGGCTTGTTGTGTCCTCCCACGGTGGGTCTCTTTTTATAAGGGCACAATCCCATCAAGAGGACTCCACCCTCATGACCTGATCTAGCCTACTTACCTCCCAAGGGCCCTGTCTCTAAATGCCTTCACATTGGTAGCTAGAGTTTCAACACATGAATTCTGGCAGCACATGGTTTAGTCCATAGCAGTAACCTTGGCAAATGACTTAGCTTTTCAGAGCTTTTCAGGTGAGAAAACTGTTATAGTCTCCAAAAGGTGATAAGGAGGATAAATAAATGCATATTTAAACACTCAAAATGAATCATGCCAACTTTAACTCTTTAAGCCACCCTTACTTCTCCCTTTCCCTTGGTACCTGCCTCTCCCAAGAAGCTGGTCAAGTTCCGCTAATCCCGTTTTTTTCTTTCTTTCTTTCTTTTGAGTTACAGTCTCACTCAGTTGCCCAGGCTGGAGTGCAGTGGCATGTTCCCAGCCACTGCAGCCTCGACCTGCTGGGCTCTAGTGACCCTTCCACCTCAGCCTTCCAAGGAGCCGGAACTACAGATGTGAGCTACCATGCCCGGCTAATTTTTGGTTTATTGTAGAGACAATGTCTCATCAAGTTGCCAGGACAGGTCTTGAACCCGTGGGCTCCCAAGAGTGCTGGGGTTACAGGCTGAGTCACCGAGCCCAGCCCATTAATCCCATTTCTATGCCCTTGTCCACTCTCACTTCCACAGCACTAGTACAGAACTTGAACATACTTCAACTGCCCATTCCTGACCTGGTCTAAACCATCATTCACACCTTTGCCAGAGATGTTTTTCAACAAAATTACAGATCATAGCACATCCCTGTCCTGACGTTCCAATGTTTTCAAAGCCTTCTTATTTTCCACAGAAGTCACTGAAACTCTTCAGCGTTTGGTATTCCAGCCCCTGAGCCAGCTTCCTGGTGGGGCTCCCCGTTCACTTCCGCTCCCTGCATCTCACACTGCTGTTCGCCAAACACACTCTCCGCCTTCCTGTCTTATTTCCTTTCCTAAATCCTCACCCCCACTTCTCCTCTGAGAATTTCCGCTTAAACCCCAAGGCCCAGCTCAAATGTGATTTCCTTTCTGCTGTCTTTCCAGAACCCCCTAGTGACATAGACTGAGCCCACGTCTGTTTTCCCACAGGGCTGTGTACAAACCTGTCTAGCCTTTATCATACTCTGGTACAATTATTAATTTACTTGTCTATCTTCCCAGCTAGACTCTGAGCTCTTCCTCAGAGGCAGGGATGGTGAAATATTTACTCTTGCACTAGCAGTCCATAACATAGTTCCTGGAACATACCAGTACATGTGAGATGCTTGATGAATGTCTGTTGAGAGAATGAATAAATAAATAAACTATGTCGCTTGAGTGATGCCAGCTATGTGTTATTTAAATATTCATTAAATCTAAAATATTCAGGCATGTATAAAGAGAAAATCCTAGTTTACACTCCCACCAACTGTGTAGAAGTGTTCCCTTTTCCCCGCATCCTCTCCAGCATCTGTTGTTTTTTGAGTTATTGATGATTTGATGATGGCCATCCTGACTGGAGTTAGGTGGTATCTCGGTGTAGCTTTAATTTGCGTTTCTCTGATGATTAGTGAGGCTGAGCATTTTTTCATGTATCTGTTAACTACTTGTTTTCTTCTTTGAGAAGTGTCTATTCATGTCTTTTGTCCACTTGATAATAAGGCTGTTTTTTCTTTCTTCTTTGGCACATTTGAGTTCCTTATAGATCCTGGATGTTAGGCCTTTGTCAGATATGCTGCTGGCAAATATCTTTTCCCATTCTGTGGGCAGTGTCCCCGCTCTCTTGGTTTCTTTTGCTTTGCAGAAGCTTTTCAGTTGGATGAGATCCCCCTTGTCTATCTTACCTCTTATGGCATGGGCATCTGGGATTTTGATCAGGAATTGGTTGCCAGTTCCTGTTTCCATAAGAGTGTCTCCTACTTTTCTAAGATTCTTATAGTTTGAGGTTTTACATTTAGGCCTTTGATTCACTTAGAGTTGATCGACCTTCCATATGACCCCTCATCCCCCTCCAAGAATATACCCGGAGGAACTCAAATCACTCTATGAAAAAGAAACCTGCACACGTATGTTTATTGCAGCATCGTTCACAATAGCAAAAACATGGAACCAACTGTGCTGCCCATCAAAAGAGGACTGGATTTAAAAAATGTGGTATATATACACGATGCAATATTACACAACCATAAAGAAGGGTGAAATCATGAACTTGCAGCAACTTGGATGGACTTAGAGTCCACAATACTGAGCGATCTATCCCAGAAACAAAGAACTGAGTCCCACATATTCTCACTCATAAGCAGACCTTGAACAATTATTGTAATACTATAAGAAAGGAATTGGCGGTAGTGGGAAACTGCCAGGGGAGGTGAGAGGGGGACACACCTCATCAACAAGGGTACCTGCATAATGAACATTTGTATACCTAACCCTGAATTGTACCCCACACTTTTAAAATAAAAATAAAATAAAATAAAATGCCAGAGGAACTCAAATCAGTCTACAAAAAAGATACCTGTAAAAAAATAAAAAATGAAAGTATGTGGGTGACAGCAAAAAAAAAAAAAAAAAAAAAAGTAAATCCTCAAAAGTAGGCATTAACTTGAAATAGATTATCTATAAATATCTTTCTCAAGTTTAAAACTTATTGGGAACTGGGCTAGAGCTTTTCTCCAGGTATAGAGGATTAGAATCTTGTCTTGGATTGACTTAAATTTGTAGAATAAGTTTAAGGTATATTTCCAATGTGTTCTATTAACTTTAATAAGCTATATTTTGTGAATTTGATACTTTTCAATAAAACAAAATCAAATTATATGCAATGGCTGATCTTTCAAAATGGGAACATCGTGAAGAAAGTGTTTTCTCTGAACACTTGTCAGCTTGAATGACATGTGAGTACCCAGTACTAAGCATCTGTTAGGGAAATCTTATTACTCTGTGTCTGTCACTAGAAAATTGGAACAAACGTTGCAAGACCTACACACTTAAAATGTTATGATGTGTTTTTAAAACTGCTTTCCACAGAAGGCCCTTTATTTTATTAGAAAATTATAAGCAAACAAGCCTTGTTTAATGGCTTTCAAAGTATAAGCACATTTCATGTCAAAATTGTATCACTTTCAAAGGCTTACTTGTGTGGGAAATCTGTCAGGCCCTGGTGCCTGAGAAAATTGGGTGGCATGGCAGAAGATTTCTTGCTGAAGGATATAATGTATGCTCAATTAAACCAATACAGTGTGTGTAATGGTCTAATTCCAGAAAGTACAATCAGCTTTCTGTTCTTGGATCAGAATTTTCCTAATGCCAGAGTTTTTTGTTGAATGTCACACAACAAGTGATATAATCTTTGAGCTCATATCTCAGGGAAGGTTGGGTTCTTATTTTTTTTCTCCTTTTAACATTCAAAAACTCTGGAAATATGACTTATTCTGACAGCCTATGTGGCTCTGCTCCCTTTTCATACCTCTCTTAGCTTATTAAATATCTTAACTAACAATTAAATAAAATATGCATAAAATGCTACAATTACAGCCAGCTTTTCAGAGGGATCAATTGTTGGGTATGGTGTTATTTTTCTTGAGAAACATTCCCAAGTCCTTTATCTCTTAAAATATAAAAAAATTGAATATGTGCCTCAAAATATGGTGGCAAATCCTGAAGAATCCCACTATCCCTTTTATAATCTATTGGACAAGTTTATAACAACTATGCTTCTCTAAGCCAGCAGAAATCACCCACAGAGGTGGTAGATGCTAATTCCACAAAAAATGACAATAAAGAGGTGACATCTGAGATACACAGTCTCTTATCTATTCCAAGAAAAGATGACTGCTAAACATGAATTCCCCACCAGACACAACAGTCTGCACGTCACCAAACTGCCATCTACTGGACGTGTTTCCCAGTGCACAAGATTGTCCTTCGTCATCTTGTCTTTTGCAGTGAATACTTGGTTTGTTTGTGGCAGTCATTCCTTGACATTCTTTCCAGTTTTTGCAACGTGTGCTTCCAATGGCAGGGGTGGCGGGAGGGATGTTTCAACTAGTTACAGTCCAACCAAAACCATTTGCGTACTTTAAGATACAGACTGATTATTCACAGTGACACGAAGACATTTCGGTTTGAGACAAGAAGAGGTTTATAGAGTTCCACTTTTTCCGAGCGCCCCCTGTCCAAGGGGCACGTTTGTTAAAAAGCTCCAGTTGCAAGTTGTGGCACAAAACAGCATCATGAAGCTCTTTGCCGCCTTGTGTATCTTTTGGTGAGTAACACTCCTCTTCAGTTCTAGCAGATTGTATGCCAACGTTTGCCACAGACAACCTGAAATCACCATCATTATCTGTGGCCAGAATCAAAGGAATGAACAAAGATAGAGTATTTCTGGCACTATCTACTTTTATAAAAGAACAGCTAATAAGCCAACTTACCATATTTTCTTTGCTAAACTGTGCTTTATATGAGTCACTGATCAAATTCTACCTAATCTTCGCTATCCTATATCCACACATAGAAATCCAACTGGTATTTATACTGATAAACTGAAGGCACTGGAAAATTCCTAGTTGTCTCCTGAATCATGAAAATGGGGGGAAATTACATTTATCAAATACTTACTGTGTTCTAGACATTTTCACGGACACTGTCACCTGATATCCACATAGCAGCTTGGCCTGGCCAGATAACTATCACTGTCCTCACTTTCACCACTGAACGTGACTGAGGCTCAGAACAATAATGAGGGCTAAACTACTTACTCCTTCAGAAAGAGTGCCTCAATTAATCCTCAGAGCCACATTGTGGAGTAGACACTACTAGGGTCCCCATTTTGTTAGAGGCAACAGAGGAGCTAAGCGCATGTGCTCAAGATGACACAAACAATGTTCAGGAGAGCCTGATTTGAACCCAGGCAAACTGGTTCTACTGCCTGTATCTGTTAAGGCCAACATTAAGCTGGTGTGTGTGTGTGTGTGTGTGTGTGTGTGTGTGTACGTAATTTAATACTAAATGTGCTATATTATCGTTCTGGTTTTGAAACTGGTAAATGTGCACCTACTGTCAGTCATTTTACATACATCATCTCATTTGAAATTCACACATATATGTAGTATCATCCCCATTCTACTTTGATAAGACTGAGATTTGAAGAATAACTATAATGAGACTAATCCAGCAAACACTTACATGGCACTTCCTATGTGCTAGGTACTCTTCATACAAAGAGTCTTGAACATAGCACTTATTTAATACTGACAACAATAAAAGCTGCACTGGTATTCCTGTCACACAGATGAGGAAACTGAGAGGTAGCACCCTGACCAAGGTCGCAAGGCTGGCAGGAAACAGAGCAATCCATCTAGCTCCAAAGGCCCCAGGACTTCAACCATGACTCTAAACCGTGCAACAATTTAAAAGTCATTCCTGGTTTACTGCAGCAAATGTCTGCAGCATGCCTTAACTACAATGGACTTCATCACAATCAAACATTTTGTTGCATAGCAAGTACCAAAATCGCACGCATTTGGTAGAGCGAGGGAAGGAATCAAGCCTGTGCATTTTCACATCCTTCAGGCATATGCATAGTATCAATAATGGTAAAAATAAAATTCCTCTTTTCATTTATTTTACAAACACTGAGCACTATGTCCCAGGTACTGGGGTAATGAAAATAATATTCCCTATCTGGAGGAATTGGAGGTATGTGAAAATAAAAAGGTAATTACAACATAAAGGGATAATTGCTAAAATAGAATTTTGCTTCCTAAGTCAAAGCCAAGGCTACAAAACGCTAAAGGCTGCCTGGTCATGTAGCCCCAAAGAGGTCATGCATGGGGCAAAAGTGCAAAAGAATAAAAAGGCAGAACACTCTTTCATAAATGCATAGAGCAAGGTGCTTAAAATTGTTATGATCGTTACAATCTAATTTAAAATTCCAGGAACCTGCATGTGTGAAACACAGGTGGAAAGAAGTTCAAAACACATTTATGACATGCACGTTTCTTATTTCACACCTGCTCTCTTAGGATTACTCCTTCCTGGTGAACTCACCTGGTCCTGAGTTTCCACACCCTCCCTGTCCGGCCCATACCGAATTCAACCAAGTTCTATAAAATTAATTAGAATTACTGGTTGCAAGTGACAGAAACCCACTGCAATTTAGCTTAAGCAAAAAAAAAAAAAGAATGTATTGACTTGACTTGGCTGACTGTGAAGTCTGGGGGACAGACATGCTTCAAACAAGGCTAAATTCAGGGGTTCAGATGCTGTATTCAGAGCCCACTTTCCCTCCCTTTCCCTGCCCTTTCTCCCTCTCCTTAATTCTATCAACTCTTATTGTTTCTACTTGACTTTCTGTGGTAAGGTCTCTCTATACGATGGGTCTCATGTTCAGAGATACCAGTTTAGCAACTCCAGCGAAGAAAAATTTTCTCTCTCACAATGTTCCTAATGAGTCCTCAGGAATATTCCGATTGGTCTTTCCTAGTTTATGAGTTTCTTTTTCAACCAGTCACCATGACCAGGTGAGCTAACATAGAGGATTAGGTTATCAAAGAAAACTCACAAAAATCAGAGATAGCATCAAGCTTAATCAAGAGACAAAGAAAAAGCAGAAAAAGGTCTGGGACATTCTGCGGGGCTTTGCCAGATTCTTTCTATGCACTGACCCAGGATAATTGGCAAGGCCGCTGTATGCAGTTTTTCAGAGTACTGCTTCACAGAGTGCAGCACATAATGTACGAAACATCTCCAGTCTATACCTCAGAGAGTTATAAAATGGCATGCTATTACATGATATTCTTCTAGGAAGCCACGTTTCATAAATAGATTCCAGGCTTATTTACTAGAAGTAATCCTCGTCCAGGGAGATCCTGCTAGGGACTTTCTGTAGAAAGGTCTCCTCCTCTGGCCAAAAAATCATGATTCAAGCTAGGTATGGTGGCTTGCTCCAGTAATCCAGCACTTTTGGAGGCCAAGGAGTGAGAATCTCTTGAGTCCAGGAGTTTGAGACCAGCCTGGACAACATAGTGAGACTTCACATCTATAAAAAAAAAGAAAATTGCCAGACACGGTGGCATACGCCTGCAGTCCCAGCTCCTGCGGAGGCTGAGGTGGGAGGACCGCTTGGGCCCAGAGGGTTCAGGCTGCAGTGAGTTGGGCTCACGCTACTGCACTCCAGCCAGGGAGACAAATAAAACAAATTTCAAGCAGTACTATTCTATTTACCCAGATGTCTGACAAGGCGATTGGGACAGGTTCCCTGCCTCCTTTGTCTTCCTCCTAAGGGCAGTCTCTCAAAAAGGGTGGGACCACAGGGCTGGCCGCTGGCCTCCTTCCTCCCCACCAGGAGACAGGACCTTCTGGCTGGACAGCCGGAGGCAACACAGACTGGGCTTAGGCTGGGGGGCAGCCATGACGGATGGGCCTGCGGGGGCACCTGGACCATGCCAGGGCACCAGAAAACACACTGAGTAGATACACACTGTGACGCTGTGATCTATGAAACTGCTCCTATACAGACAAGAGGCTTTTAAGAGTTCTAATGATGCTACCATGTTCCTGTTCCTAAACTTTGTGTATTTCCCTCTAGTTTCTAACTGTGAAAAACTCTCCAGCTACGTTCTATGACTCATGATTACAGTGAAAGGACAAACAGCTAGGCTGGGAGTGGGGGATCACGCCTGTAATCCTAGCACTTTGGGAGACCTAGGCAAGAGCATTGCCTGAGACCAGCCTGGGCAACTTGGTAAGACTTCATCTCCACAATCAAAAACATTAGCCAGGCGTGGTGGCGCATGCCTGTAGTTCCAGCTACTTGGAAGGCTGAAGCAGAAGGATCACCTGAGCCCAGCAGGTCGAGGCTGCGGTGGCTGTGAGTGTGCCACTGCACTCTAGCCTGGGCAACAGTGAGAGACTCCAACTCAAAAAGAAAAAAAAAGGAAAAAGAAAAAAGAAAGAAAGAACAAGTAGTGAAGTAAAGAATGGGGAGGGGAAGCAGGTTGAATCTTGGGTCTGTAGAGAAGAAAGCCAAAGACCTCACAAGGATCCCTTAAGAGGAGAAAGAAGAAATATCCAAAGTAGGTGTTTTCTATCCCAGTTCTATGTCCTCATATCCATTTGCCTACAGAAATCTAAAATTCTAACAAAGCAATGGAATTTCTTTAACAGCCACGGCACAGCAACAACTGTCCTACTGACCTAATAATCCAGCAGAAACTTTTTTTTGGCCAAAATAGCATTTATTTTTAAGTTGAATCTGAGTATCTTGGAATAGCTCATCACAGTCTTTCATTCCCCAGTGTTTTACTGGTTAATTCATTTATAAATGTTACCGCCGGGCTCTGGAAGCATTTGAGTTTTTAACTCATGGTTCAAGACTTGACTGGACTGAAAATCCCTTTATAAGAATGTAAACTATAAACTTTTTTTTTTCGTTATTTACATCAGTGTGAGTGATTTCTCATCTGTTTTCATTGAGAAAAAAAGTTTTTGAAGAAGACTAAAGGACTAACAGGGGACAAGGGTGAGCCAGAAGCTAGGTTTTCCCTCTCAAATAATACCTGCAGGCTCAGCATCTGAGAAATGCTGCCTCCTTAAATGTCATGCCCTGTGTGTCTTATCTGCCTCACTCGTGTCCTGATAACCTTTAACCATAGTTGGCTTCTGTGACTTTGATGAAAGCAGCTCAATGCACTTCCTTCCCCCACCCATGAGCTAGGAAACCATTCCTCCTGGAAATGCCCACCATGTCCATGATTACGCCTATGCTACACTTATAACACTTGTTTTCTAATGATTTGCACATCCATATGTGCCAGCACCCTTTGCCCTTTAAAGGAGGAGACTGCTATCATCTTCTTTAGAGTGGCAATGTCTATCCCTACCTGCTGAGTGAATGAACGAACAAATGAGTGTGCTGAGAGCACTGGACATTTCATACTTCCTATGACATGGAACACCTGTGAAGCCCTGTCAACAAAAGTGCTTTATTTTTGCCATAAATTGTTGGCAAACGTCAATAAGTTTTTATTCTGTGATAAGATTTTTTTTTCATATTTGCATGCATTCTTTGTATTGCTCCAGTTTTTTATTTAGACACATCTGCTCAAGAAAGTGCTACACTGGATCCGCAACTGACATCTTACACATGCTTTGCCTTTCAGTCTGCTGCAGGGCCAGCCTCCTTGACCTAATTAGATTTCTCCACTCCCACATGGCTAGTAAATACTATAATTAATTTATAAGGGACTCTGAAACACCAGTTGG